GGGTGCTTCCCAGTGGGGAAGGGGTATAGCCCTTTTTCTCCCACACTGTTTTCCCAGTGCAGCCCGCTAGAGCGTCTCCTTACTCAGTGAGGGAATATTTTAATCATGAGTTGCTAGCCGCTTTAGAGATTCTTCTTTGACAGAAAGCGGGATACAAATATCTTGAGGAAGAGAAATTAATCTGGGTGTCTGTATACTTCCCGCCCACCCATTCTCACAGAGCAAATGGAAGGGCCAGATGAGAGGGTAATCCTACACAGAAGCCTCCTCTGGCCTGTTCAAAGCAGGGCCCCACCACTACCTGGGCCACGAACAGTCTCAATTTAAACTCCTCCCCACAGGTAATTTTTAATCTTAGAAGATCCCCACTGTCTATTCCCATGGCATCATGCAGAGATGCAGCGGAGTCAGAGGAGGCTGCCTGTTGCCTTTTTGTGTAGTTGTAAATCTGGGTGCGTAGAGCTGCCAGGTCCCCCGTGGCCATCGGAGGTGGGGGGTAGGGTTGCCACATCCAGGTTTGGGAACACCTGGAGATCTGAGAGTGGAGCCTAGGGAGGACGGGGACCTCAGTGAGGTATAGGACTCCCAGGTTCCCCCTGGCCACCAGTGAGGGATGGGGGGTAGGGGCGCCAGATCCAGGGTGGGAAACTCCTGGCACTTTGGGGATGGAGCCTGAGGATGAGGGAGATCTCAGCGGGGCACAATGCCATGGAGTCCACCAGTGTTCCCTCTAAGCTGAGTTAGTGTGAGCTAGCTCACAATCTTGTGGCCTCCAGCTCACAGACTTTTGTCTTAGCTCAGGAAGGAGGGCTCCAGAGCAGACTGATTTATGCAGTAGCCCATAGGCGTAATCTTCGTGGGGGCGGCGGGGCGTCAGCCCCCGCCGAAATTTTCAGGAAGGTGCTCAGCCTCCCCCGGGAGCCACCCTTGCTCCTAGCAAAACAATGCCTCTGGCCCAGCCCCAGCCCCCCCCGGGAAATTGGAAAGTCTACACCCTTGCAGTAGCCAAATCACTGGCTCACAACTCTAAAGCCAGTAACTCACAAAGCAGAATTTTCGTTCACAAGACTCCACAGCTTAGAGGGAGCATTGGAGTCCACCCTCCAAAGCTGGCGTTTTCTCCAAGGGACCTGGCATCCCCTAGTGGGGTACAAAACCACACAGCCCACCTTCCAAAGCGTCCGTTTTCTGCAAGGGAGCTGATCTCTGTAGTCTGGAGATGAGCTTTAATTCCAGGTCCCACCTAGGGTTGCCAGCCTCCAGGTGGTGGCTGGAGATCTCTCGCTGTCACAACTGATCCCCAGGCGACAGAGATCAGTTCCAAATCTCCAGGTATTTCCCAACCCAGAGCTGGCAACTCTAGACCCACCTGGAGGCCGGCCTCCCTGTGGGCAGGCCTCCTTCCAAACTGGCCCTTCCCACCGTACTGTGACTTGTGCAGAATGGGGGGGTGGGCCGGTGGGCCCCTCCTCCACAGGCGGCTTGTTCTCCTGCTTCCAACAGTAGCTCTTCCTTTCCCTTCAGAACGTAAAGGGCGCTGCTGCAGCTATCGAGAGCGCAAGCCAAGGCCGCACACGACGAGTCCCCGGGAGGGTGGGACGAGCCGAGGTCTCCCACACCCAAGGCCGGCTCTTATTGGTTGCGCGCCTCGGCCCACGCTTCCCTCGGAGGGTATCCTGAAGTGACATCAGCTCAGTGCCGATATGTTTTTTAAAAAGGAGAGTGAATCTCTGGCCCCAGCAAGCGGGGGCGGCGGAGTAATCTTGGCCCGCTGCGGGGCTGGCGAGACGCCTGGGAAGGCAAGGCCCGCCCCCCTTCTTGGCTCGCCCCCTTGGCACCGGCGGAGTGTTTGCTCTGGGTCCGAGAGACCGAGTCCAAATTCCCCGAAGACAGCCGAGAAGGGGCCTTGCCCCCCCTTGCGCTGTTGTGCGTGTAGAGCGGTCTGAGGCCGAAACATCCCAGCCTCATTCTGAGCTCCTAGACCTTTTTGCACGTCACCCTTTATCTCTGCTCTGTGCTAGGCATGGTGTTAAAACTGCCCCGTTACGCCCTCCTTTCGTTGGTCAATAATATTCACTTTGGCAGCTCTTTATCTCTGCTGTGTCCTGCGCCTGCGTTTGTGCGGCTGTGCGTGTGTTTGTTTGCTGGGCTGTTTTACAGTGTGCTTCCACTGTTGTGAGTTGTGAGCTATCTTGAAAGCCCAGAGCGTGCTGGATGGGGGGGGGGGGGGGGGGTT